AAGTTATTTATAATATAATTCTCTATAATTTTTATTCCATACATAATTTCTATAAAATGGACCGTATTCGAGATATTTGAGAAAATGTGTAAATTTCGAATTTTGAAGAAAACTCAAAAATGGTTAAAGGAAAAAACATTAAATTTTAAACTTAAGTTTTATTTCGGACTGAAGTGAAATGATTAGTTTTTGGACAAAGTCGGAACATCTGGGGGGTACTTTATGGGAGGCCGTTTTTATATTTTATGGAATATATGTTATTTATGTTTGGAGAAGAAAATTGTTTAAATAAAAGTTACTTCTAATATTATTATTATCTATAATTTTTGTTTTATATCAAATTTTTCGAGAAATTTGACAAAATGTGCAAAATTTTGATTTTTAAGAAAATTGTTAAACTGAAAGTTGTTTGCGATATCAATCTCTTTAATTTTTGTTTTTACATGATTTTCCTAAAGTGGACCGTAATGAAAAAATTGAAGGAAAAGTGCTAAATTTAAATTTTTCAATATTTTCGTTTTCAATGAATATCTATAGAAAAATATTTCGAGGTAGATGTATGTGGTTTATGTATGTGGTTTATCTTCTATACATATGTATAGAAGTGCTGCAATAGGTTGTACAAAATAACCGGAAAAAGCCTATAATAACTAGATAGGAAAGTCATGCGTTGGAAACATCAGATTTTTTCTTTTAAGCAGAATCTCACCTAACACTTTCTTGTTTTCTAGCGGCCTTTTACAATGCGGCTATTGATTCTAAAGTATCATCAATTTTAAGACAAATTAAATCGAAGAAACTATGGTTATATTTTTCTTCTCGCGGACCATAAAATTGTCATTTCAAAGAAACGTTTACAGATGCGACGCCTCTGCGCATTTAGTCATGCTAGTATTGTACTCTATTTTTTACCAATTCAATAAAAATATACCTTCATATAATTACAAGTAAATGCATAATACCGCAGAACTTTTTTGTGGCATGGCATTACTGTGTTTATCACTAAAATATTTTTCAACTCATAAGGACCAAGCTGTGACGAAATAATTGGTTCATTTTATACAGTTTTTTAATTATACATATACAGGGTGCCCCATCAGTGGGTAATTGAACGATAGATATTTTATTACTGGAGATATGCATGGTAGTCTATAAATGTATAATAACAATTTTCAATAATTAAGTCAAATAGAATTAAAAGTCTTGTATTTCTCACTGGTTGAGTCACTGCTTTCTTATGGTATTTTAGGGTGGGGTGGAGTAAATGACTGTTTCTTAAATAGTGTTCATATTGTACAAAAATGGCTTTTAAGAATCATATTCCAAAAAAATATTTTATTTTCCTCAGATCAATTATATCTAGATGCCCAAGTAAAAGATGTACGACAAATTTTCGTTCAAAAAATATTGTTTTTTATATTTCAAAATAAAATAAAATTTGTACATCATGAACACTCTTATAATACTAGGAGATATGAAGGGATCGTTTTCCCACGAAGTGAAAAAACTATCGGGAAAAGAAATACTAACTATTTAGCCCCAAGAATTTACGTGCTGTTATCTAATGATATAAAAAACTCAAAAAGTTTAAATTTATATAAAAATCGAATTAAAAAATGGATTATGGAAATAGAGAGACGATTTTTTACCGATATAGTAAATCAAACTCTACAGTGACAAAAGTAGCCATTTCAAGAATATGTGTCTGATATTTTAATTTTAATTTTAACTTACCTCTATTTTGCCCTTATACCCCGAATGTGTCTTAAACTGGATTTGACAATATATTTTTTTTTCACTGGGTTTGACAAAAACCCTGTTTGTGTCGCCCAAAAAAGGCAAAACAAACTGTATTAAGGTCACAATACAAGCAGTTCTAAAAACTACTTCTGTGGCTTAACTTTGTTTATTCACTCTCTACTTAGTATGTATTATTTTAATGAGGTAGTTACTAAGTCTTTTTAATAATATGTTACTTGTATTTATCCTAACTTTTATGTATCTATCTTTATATTTATATTTATTATTTAATTTATGTACTGAACTGAATAAACATTATTATTATTATTACAACAATGCGTGAGCATCAACTAACACCTTAATTTCACTATAGCACTCAAGGCGACTCATCATTTCGTTCTGCCTGGGAGAGTGCAGTCGACGGTTCGCTACTACCGTCATCACTTCCTGCACCCCCTCTTTTGACTGCTAATGTTCTTTATATTATTATATTACAATGAGTAATCACACAAAATTTGTTTACCTACTAACACGGCCATACTGATCTATATTTCGCTCTCGAAATATTCTCTTTTTTTATGTAACGACTGGTTATTAACTTGTATTATTTTAAATTATAAAAATATTATACAAAAAGAAAAGATAACAAAATTACAAGATCAGCCACTAAATTCTTTCCACGCCAATTATTTCGAAAAAGTTTTCTGCTCATCTTCGCGTAACTTTCTGAGACGAGACAAAACCTTGCATTTTTAAATAAGTGACACAACACCCCATGTCTTATAATTTATAACACTTTATTCAAGATTTTAAAATAATTTAAAACACAATCTGCTCTTTGGATATCAACAATATTCGTCCGACATTTTTCAATTAATATGTTTAAAATAATTTCAAAATAAAAACCATGCTCTTCGAATTTCAACAATATTTTTCAATTTATATTTTTTGTTAAATCATTTAAAATAAACACTATGTTCCTCGGATTTCAACAATATCCGTCCAGCATTTTTTAATTTTAAATCATTTAAAACAAAAGCTATGCTCCTCGGATTTCAACAATATCCATCCAGCATTTTTTTAATTTTAAATCATCTAAAATAAAAGCTATTTTTCACTCTGCTAGTCACGAAATGCTTACCACCTGCCATCGCGTGGGTAAAAAGCAAGTCATCTAGTAGGTCTCGGGCAATTAATATATTATTTATGCAACAAAACATAAAGGAAAAACAAAAAACAAAAAAAAATTACTTGCTGACACCGCCCATCCAGGATAGTACAACACCGATTTTTTATATGATTGTGAATCCTCGGATTCCTCATACCATTTACCAGACCACATTTATAAAACATAAAGCTTGCACGATGCTAACAATTATATTTAATATTTCAAAAGATTTCACTAAATTTGTGCTAAGCAGACAAAATAAAAGCAATAAGTTCAGAGGTACTCCTCAGATATTTGGCTGACCTATACTTAATTTCTTTAATTACAAAAAAAACTTGAAATTAAAGTTCAGAGGTACTCCTCAAATATTTAACTGACCTCTACTTAACTTTTTTTACTCACAAAAGCAAAAGATTTAAATGGAAGTTCAGAGGTACTCTTCAGATATTTAATTAACCTGTACTTAACTTACTTAACTTACTTAACTTTGTTACTAAATAAAAACAGTAGAGAAGTTCAGAGGTACTCCTCAGAGATTAACCTGACCTGTACTTGACTTTCTGGTGACATGAATACATCGTTAAGTTCAGAAGTACTCCTCAGGGATTAACCTGACCTGTACTTGACTTTCTGGTAACATGAAAACAATATTAACCTGACCTGTACTTAACTTTCCGAATGGTAGAATTAACAGTTAATCGTAATTTGGAAAGAGCGCTCGTCCATCCTGACAAATTTATCCGATTTATTTCATTTAAAATTAATTAACATAGTTTACACACTATTTGTCAAAAATAACGTAGTATATCACTGCTAAATTATCCACATCATAAAAACAAATTTTGGAACCTATACTATTGCATTCAATTTGGAGTGAGGGTAGCCATATGTGAGTAGTAGGGATTAAGTGTAAAGGTTAAAGAAAAGGTCCTTTATTTCTCACAAGTCAATTTAATTGGCGACCGGTTTCGAAGTTGTCACTTCAAGGTGTGCCTGATGATGAAGTGACAACTTCGAAACCGGTCGCCAATTAAATTGACTTGTGAGAAATAAAGGACCTTTTCTTTAACCTTTGCACTTAATTATTGCATTCAATTCTAAATGGTATTTTACTATTTTTAAAAGTTATGTTGCGTGCACCTTTTAACGTTATCAGTGCTCTAAATTACAATTGAATGTTTTTTCCATTCTACATTTCTCTCCGGTATCTATCAGATAGTTGAATTATAAATTTATTCCAAAAAAAAACTATCAAAATCAATAAGTAATATAATTTATTCGAGAGCTAGATGGTTGGTAAGTTTCTTTTTAAAACAATAAGCTCCATAGTGGCATTTTTTTTTTTTTTTTTTTTCGAAACATGAAAATACCATTTCTATTGGCTACATACAATTATTTACCCCTACAAGATGACGGTGATTTAAACGAATACCACCAATATCGCCAATAAAAATTTCAAACAATTATTAGCCGACTGACAAATTTAATGAATGAACATAAAAAATGACAGTCGCCAACAATCAATCAACTGATAAATGTAACGAATCAATAATCTTGGAAATACTCACAGGAACAGTCAACCCCCAGGCACTTCCGTGGTTTAGTAAGCGAATTCCACATCTAATAATAACAATTTTCAATAATTAAGTCAAATAGAACAATACATGAGCATCAACTAACAGCTTGATTTCACTATAGCACTCAAGGCGACCCATCATTTAGTTCTGCCTGGGAGAGTGCAGTCGACGGTTCGCTACTACCGTCATCACTTACCGCACCCCTCACCATTGACTGCCAATGTTCTTTATATTACAATGAGTAATCACACAAAATTTGTTTACCTGCTAACATGTATATATTTAGTTTATCCTCTAAACATTTACAGGGGTACAAAATAACCGATAAAAGCCTATAATAACTAGACAGGAAAGTCATGTGTCGGATACACAGATTTGTTTATGTCCATATTTGGATCAACATGCTCAATATTATCTGTTTCTTATCCTTTTCCTTTGCATGTAAAACTTAATTAATTTGTAAAGTGTACTTTAAATAAATATATAGAATTTAATTGGTACTTTCGTTGTTCCAGAGCCCGGACGACGACAACAACAAACCCCGCCCGCAACTGATCACCGAGGACAGCAACAGACACCACCAACAACGGCTGGTCCAGACAACGACGACGGTGGGTACCTCTCCCACCACCAGGGGCGTCGCGATGTCATTCGGTTTCAGGCGACGCACACCGGCACCGTCTATAGCGGCGAATGCGACCGCCGCCCGCCGTTTGGCTAATAATGTCGCTACCGCCGAAACTATTAGTACCAACGAAGCCTACGATAGAAACGGGAACGATGCCAGCGATACGGATGCGCTGACGTCGAACGTGGCGCCTACGGGAAGATCGACGCCTCGATTGGTACCGCCTAAAAAGGAGGCTAACGCCACTAAGGTGTCCAGATTTGGGTTCAGGTGAGTTTATAATTAATTCCTTATTAGAAAAATTACCAATGACGTTATATTCTTTGGACCATATAATAAAAGAATCGGGTATTTATTTTTTTATTTTCGTTTATAACCAAAGCCAAAGGCCTTATTACACTTAATACAATTCAATGTTTACATCATATTTGAAATGTATTTGAGGATCTAAATGTAGACTTTTAAATTAGTTATCCTAATTTTATTCAAATATATTAAAAAATGTGGCTTAGTATACGATGATAAAATATTTTTTGAGGAAAACAGCAATCTACATCTATTATCAAGTTATTTGTTAATTTCAAAATGGTTGTAGGAGTTGTCCTAACAGACCATGTGGTACTCGTATATGAAACATCCACGAACATTGAACGAAACTAATGAAATAATTTCTAGGCTATTAATTTTACCGTTGAGAACTTTTTACAGGAACATAACAACAGGCAAAGTTTTTCTTCGTTCCAATGATAATATTTTAAAATCATTTCTGAGATGACTTGATCTGACTGTATTTGTAGTCAGGCCAGATACGATATTATTTAAAATTAAATATATAAAACATTTATTTTGAACCTTCTTTACTAATTTCCAAGAAGTTGTGTATTCATAAAATCAAAGAGTTGATGCGAAATCTAATTTAATTGTTACTACAGTAAAATAGAGCAAAATACGTTTTATAGGTTACACCTAGGTCTTTAATTTATGTGCAACTTACCAAGATATCTCATATTCAAATAAAATTGCTTCCCTGGAACGAGTTATGCTCATCAATTTATTTATGAATGTCTTCCTGTAGCACAGCACAATCTATAACAGTACATTTTGAGTTCATTTACAAATAGAAGAAACTCAGTGTGCTTAAGAATGGAAGGAAGATCGTTGATAAGTATTATAATAAATAAGAGCGGTCCTAGATTAGTCCCTGAATTTGTATAGTAAAATAACTCTTAATACTAAAAATGATATAGATAAAGTTGTAGAAAAACTACGGGACGCAATCATAACATCATATCGCAATAATTATTGTTCCTTAAAGAACAGGAAAATTTCTAGGGAGGTGAGTTAGTGGAACACCGCTGTTCCGCTAGTGGAACTCGCCAAACTCCGAAGGAAAACACGTAAACTTTAATAAAGCTAAAAAGACGAATGAGTGGAGGAAATACACAGAGTATAACAAAACATTCTGTCAGGAAATTGAAAATACAACTGAAGGATGCAGACTCTATCGCATTCTTGCAAAAGATCCAATAAACCCTGTGTGGACTTTAAAAACCCAAACAGGGGAATACACTAAAACTGGAATGGAAACATTAGAACTACTTCTGAAAACTAATTTCCCTGATTGCACAACAAACCCGAATGCAGCAAACCAAACCCACACGAACTGAAACTCTCAAAAAAGAGTCTCCAGCCAAGAGTGGGAAATTGCTAAACAGGTAGTCACAACAGAGAAAGTAACATGGGCAATACGCACCTTCAGTCCATACAAATCACCAGGATCAGATGGGGTATTGTCTGTGCTTCTGCAACAGGCAATAGAAATACTGGCCCCGCACATCTATAGGGCAATTTGATGCATAAATATGTACCAAATACCTGGAAACCTTTTATACCTAAACCAACATATGTCTTGGCAAAGGTCTACAGACCAATAACTTTGACGTCATTTCTATTGAAATGATTGGAAAAACTGATTGATCAGCATGTCCGGCAAACCACTCTGATAAAGAGGCCATTTCATACAAACCAATATGCCTATCAATCAGGAAAATTCTGTGTCTGCTCTGCATAATCTTGTAACCAAGATAGAGGGGGGGACTCAGTAGCCAAGAAATAGTCCTAGAAGCATTTCTATACATAGAAGGAGCTTTTGATAATACCTCCTTTAAATGAATTGTAGCTGCCACTAGAAAACATGGAATAGAAGACATATTACGCGGACGGCAAGTACAGGCCCAAATGTTCAGTGAAACCATGCAGGTGAATATCCACAGGGTATGCAAACAGGGTGAAGTGCTTTCTCCTCTACTGTGGAACCTAGTGGCAGATGAACTGCTGAAAACACTGAACAATCAAGGGCTGTAGGCCCAAGGATATGCCCATGACATAGTCATCCTTATTCGAAAGAAACACCAAACCACAGTCTTCGAACTCATGCAACAGAAATGTGGTGCGTTAGGGAAAACCTCTTGGTAAACCCTGATATGCAACTTTGCAAAGGTTTTTGAAATCCTGTTAGAGCGAGTTATATGTCGTCATGTAAGTTGTAATATAGGTATAAATCAACATGGTTTCATGAAAAGTCGTTCAACAGTCACCAACCTCCTGACCGTTACCCAATATATTGCTGAATCTATTGACAACAGAGCCCAAACTGATGTTATTTACACAGACTTTTCTAAGGCCTTCGACAGACTTGATCATGGCATTCTGCTTAACAAACTTGTAGCTTTTGGATTATCTCCTTCTTTAATTTCACTATTTCAATCCTATCTATGGGATCGAAAGCAATATGTCGAGCTTAATGGTTTTAGGTCTGCTGAATATAGTGCTTCTTCTGGTGTTCCACAAGGGTCGAATCTAGGACCCCTCCTTTTTATTATGTTCATTAATGATATTGCAGATGTTATAAATGTAAATTTCCTTTTGTATGCTGATGATCTAAAACTATACTGCCTCGTAGAGAAGATAGGTGATTGCGAGAACATTTCAGCAAACTTAACACGGATTGTTGAATGGTGTCATCAAAATAATTTGTCACTAAACCCGGATAAATGTAAAGTTATGTCGTACAGTTTAAAAACGAATATCCTAATGTTTAATTATTCAATAGAAAACGTTGCCCTTGAGCGACCGAAAACATTTACTGATCTTGGCGTCACGTTTGACACTGCACTATCATTTAATAAGCATATTGATAATGTTGTATCCTCCTCCTATCGAATGTACGGATTAATTGCACGTAGCAGTAGTGATTTCAAAGAAACCTCTACCTTAAAAACTCTATTTTATGCTTTTATAAGATCAAAGTTAGAATATGCTTCAGTTGTGTTGTGTTGCCCCTTTTATCAGTATCATATAGATCGAATAGAAGCAATTCAAAGACGATTTTTAAAACTGCTAAGCCTAAAAACTGATGGCATTTATCCTCTAATAGGTACACCTCACTCTGAATTACTACAAAAGCATAACTTTTTCAGTCTCGAAAGAAGGCGTGATTATTATAGTGTAGTAGTAACTTATAAAATTATTAAAAGTATTATTGACTGCCTAACCTTATTAGAAAAGTTTAATATTTGCATTCCCAGAATTTCTTCCAGACACCCGAATACTTTTTATATAAATACATCTCGCACAAATGTTCTGGAAAATTCTCCGCTCCATACCATGTGTACAGTAACAAATTCTATTGTCAGTGAACTTGATATATTTAGTTGCAATTTGTCAGATATAAAATCTCACTTTTTATCTTAGTTAATTTGTTACCTATTACGAAATACAAGTTCTTTTTATGTGCTTAACATTCATATAAAAAATGTGATTTATTAATAATTATATTCTGTCAATTCTTGCTCTGTAATTGGGTTTATGACCTGTAGAGTATTGTATTATAAATAAATAAATAAGGCACAACTCATAACCTTTACTCGGAAAACAAGGTTGGAGGTCTTAGAAACTCCGACTCTATTTGGAGGAAGGCTAAACAAAACGAACCAAGTAAAATATCTGGGTCTAATCATAGATAGAAAACTTACTTGGAACCAACACAAAAAGTGACCAACAAATGTAAAATGTCTCTCATTGTAGGGAGATGGACATTTTGGAAAACATGAAGATTAAAACCGAAAATGGTCCATTGGCTATATTTGGCAATAACAAGACCGATGATAACTTATGGAGCGGTTGTTTGGTGGCCAAAAGTAAACCAGAAAACAGCCCTCAATACCCTCTCAGGAGTTCAAAGGCTGGCATGCCTTTGTATTACAGGAACACTGAGAAGTACACCGACAGCCTCTATGGAAATCATTCTAAACCTCCCATCCCTTGACCTAGTCATAAAGGGGGAGGCCAGAATGAGTGCATACAGACTGAACAGCTCCAATAATTGCAACCCATTGGGACATATAAAACATACCAGAATAACACATGAAGTAAATGATTGTTAAATATGGGATCATATCACATAACACCCCGCCCAATCTTCAACAGACTTTTCCAAGTCAACTGCAACTGGAACGAGGTAAATAAGGAGGTAGAGAAATAATTGCTTAGCGGTCTCGTATAAGATATGGATGGATCTAAAACAAACAAGGGACATCATCGTCTCACTGGGAAAACATACCACTGTATTTCAGGCTGAAATACAAGCATTCGAATTGTTTGTATGAGAGAATTTAAGAAGGAAGTACAAAAATAAAACCATCCTAATTCTCTCAGATAGCCAAGCAGCCTTAAAAGCTCTTGATTCAAACAGAATCAAGTCAAAGCTTGTCTGGAACTGCATTGGAATACTAAATGATCTGGCAACCACCAACAAGGTAAAACTAGCGTGGGTACCAGGACACAAAGATATTCAAGGAAATGAAAAGGCTGATGAACTCGCCAAAGAGGGATCAGCACTACCAATCACAGGACCCGAACCTGTATTTGGGATAAGCCAAACCTCTGCTCGACATGCAGTAACGGGTGGATAACCTCATAACACCAAACTCACTGGCATTAGATAAAAGGGCACATAATCAATAAGCTCATGCTAAGGGGACCAAACCCACGCATGGATACTGAGGCACTACAACTGACAAGGCCTCAGATATCCACCATTGTGGAATTACTAACGGGGCACTGCTTGCTGAAACACCTTCATGTGATGGGATTACACAATGATCCCACTACGTGTAGACTCTGCATGGAAGCGGAAGAAACCTCATACTATGTGATCTTCGAATGCGAAGCTCTTACTAGGCCTAGAATCGGAAAAAACGCCCCAGGAA